CAGAGATGCACAAGGAAAATACACGCTCTTTTTTCCTTTTCAGGCCCATCACTATTTGAAGCAAACAATATTTGAAAAACAGCACACCCGTTTTCCCAATGCCCCAACAGACTGGGAAGAATTCTTTAAAGAGCCATTACTAGGTAATGTATGAACACTTGGAGGCATTACATTATAAGCGCCCTTTGAGGAGCATTTGAATAAGAAATGCTTCTTTTCCCATTGTCATTAAGAATTTTTATAAAACACCATAAAAGGGCCTTTTTTACAGGTCAGGTTAAGCAAATACAATGGAAAAATGGCACAGGATACCAAATGTCTTAATTCCTTAACTATTACATCTGTACTGAATGGGAATTTTAAGAATTCCTTTTATTCCCTCCCCTTATAATAAGTAGCAGATTCAAATTATCTATTTTCCTAATCATACTTCCAGAGGCTGGAGCCCAAGAAATATTTAACTCTCATGAATCGCTTTTCTCCCCATTCTGTAGGCGAAGCATTTTAACAGAGTGGAAGACACCAGGAAGACATTCATTTCTGTTGCATTAGATAGATGTACAAATATCAGGTATGTATTTAAAAAGCAACACGGTGTCATCTTTATTCTTGTTAACTTCTATGTGCAAATTCATGCTGGGGATAGTAGGTTGCCTTACAGATTTTTTAGACATGACTAGACATTATATACTTAAGGCATATTTTACAGAGATGGTTCCTTTTTCTGTCCTGGGTGAATCAAAAGTATCACCACATGACATTTAGTGAGGTTTTTCATCAGTGGCTATATGCTTCCCGCTCCTACTCACCTGCCACGCAAACAAACGGCCCTCATTTTTGCTGCTTACAGAAACTCATGCATCTAAAGCTCACATTATTCAAGTCACTTTCATTTAATGAGCAAGTGTCATGTTTGGTGGCATCACAATTTGTGTACTTGTAAAAATCTGTTAGACTATGGGAAAGCCTTTACAAATGTCTCCACGTACAATTTCATAACTACAGTCACTTTACTGCTGAAATATATGTAAATCAATACAAATTTAAATTTTTATAGAAAGTCTGTATTCTGTAGACAGCTGAAACAACAGGCAGCTACTACATCCACAAGCACACCAGCTTGGCCCCAAACCACCTCCTGCTGACCAGGATGCTCCACCGGCCACGCACGTGCCCACCCTGACTCCAACCATCTTGCCAAACCACCAGGCACATTCTACACAGAGGCCGCTTCCATACAAGACTACTTTTCAAGTTTGGGAGAGACGGCCATTTCATTTAATTTTAGCACAGGAACAAACACAGAAAAGTCAAACAAGATGGGGAGACAGATGACTATGCCTCAAATGAAGGAAAGCAACTCTGATGAAATGAAGATTAAGTAATCTGCCTGATAAAGAATTCAAAGAATGGATGTTAAGGACGTTCAACAACCTGAAGAGGAGAAGAGATGAGCTCAAAGAGCACATCCATGAACAGTCAGAAAATACAATTAAAAGCCAATAGTAGATGAAGAATACAATCACCGCAAGGAAAAAATACACTGAGAGGAATCGACATCAAATTCGTTAATAAGGAAGAGTGGATTAGTGACCCGGAAGACAGAGTAGTGGAAGTCATCAATCAGAACAGTAAAATGTAAAAGGAACTTTGTAAAGAGAGGCTAGTATAAGGGACCAAAAATAATGAGTGGCACGTGATAAATAAAGACAACATGCCTTGTGGTTTCCATAGTTACTGTTACTGTTGTTGTCTTCATGATTACTCTGATAATAACTAGTATCGCTGCTGATGCTGCTACTGCTTGGGTCAAACTTAGTCTTTATTTGAGCACAAAAAATTCCTGAGGTAACAGAATCATTGTCAATGTTAATAATCACTCAGCTACCCTGGTGAGGAAGAGGAGACTGGGCTGAACGTTCACTAGCTCTTGAGCATTCATTAAAAATGAGCAAATTCATACGGGAATTGATGTTGAAACACTGGCCTCATAGGAGACTGGGTTTTGTTTTGTTTTTTTTTTTCATTTTCCTCTTGATTCCTAAAGAGATGGAGTTGTTGTGTTATCAGGTTGATATTTAATTCTGATGTATAAGTGTCAAACTCATTTGGTTAAGGAGAACCATGTCACATCACACTCTGATAAATTCCCATTTCCCTTCTCAACTAATCTCCTTGTGCTTTTAATATAATTCAAAATAAAAGAGGGTAAACTAAGAAGTCATCACAGAACTTAAATACATGTTCCATGAAAAAAAAAGTAAAATGCTTGTAACAGATTTTTTTTTGGAGGAGAAAACACTTAGAAACACATGACATGGATGAATAGTACTCATTTAGGTGTCCACAGAACAGCTCTCTTTCTCTTTATGTCCAAGGGCAAGGTGCAGGGCTAAGGAATCTTCTATTATCACAATGAAAAAGTCTCTTCCGAAAGAGTAAAAACAACACAAGCACCTCATTAAATACCAGAGCATTTGACCACTGTCTAACGTTCAAGAAGACAGATCACAGAAAAATTATTTGGCTATTTTTAGATATTTAAAGCAAAACAGAATTTCTAGCTTCCACTTTATTTAAAAATTGCTTAAAATACCTCCTTCAACATATGCCACAGCACCAAAGACTATTAATTTCACTGGAAATGAATCATGAGGTACCAGAGTGTCTGCACATACAATCAGTATGCATTTCCCACAAAAGCAGGGACAATTTGCATGCATCCTGAGACTACGTTTTCCTTAAATAAAATGTTACATGTCTCAAGTAGATGAAGCGGATACGGTTTTCTTCCAAACACAATGAAGTTCAATAAAAGTTGGTTTCTTCAGCAATATATCATTGGAAGCAGATTTTTCTCTCTCCAACACGCAGGGGAAGTATAGTCTTCCCCAGAAACAGACCTGAAATGCGGAGCTCAGTGCCAAGACCCAGGCCAAGAAGATGCTTAACAAGCTTATCTGGAGTCACGATGCAGATCGTGCCCTAAACTCTGTTTGAAACCGAAAGGAAACAGGAGCATCACCATCAATAGTGTAAATTATCACAGAGCCTCTTACCCACAGTTTATGAAATGTCTTCATGAAGGAGTCAGGTGATTACATGCAGATGATGTTTACTAGAGATGCACTGGTCATAGGCAAAGAGCCCAGCTCATGCCAGCTAGCTGAATTTGAAATTTTGTTGAGTTAGATATAAATCTTATTTTTTTATTTTTTAAAATTTATTAATTGATGTGGAGAGAGAGAGAGAGAAAGGGAGGGAGGGAGGGAGAGAGAGAAACACCCATTTGTTGTCCTACTTTTTTATGCATTCATTGGTTGATTCTTGTATGTGCCCTGATCAGGGGTCAAACTTGCAGCCTTAGCATATTGGGATGACACTCTAACCAATGCAGCTACCCAGCCAGGGCCAAATTTATTTTAGTAAGCAAAAAACTGAATACTGTGTCAAATAAATCAGGAAATCCTTTGGTCTTGAGCAACGTATGAGGCATTTTCTTTTTTGCGTGTTCACTTAAAAAAATAAAGTGGGATGAGAGGTAGGAAGGGCATGGTTTGCTTTGCTGAATCTTTGGTCCCTGGACAAGAGACAACCCATAGCTCATCCATCCATTCATCGGGTGCCAATCGTGGCTGCCACACTCTCCTCCCAAATTCCTTTCCAGACAGCTTTTCCACCTCTGATACAATCCACGAGAAGACAGTAATGACTCAGCTCAAACGTGCTATGTGCCAATATACCGTGGAGATGATTTCTGAAATATTTACCTCTGCCAGAGAACTTGTGGTCTCCCATTTACCTTTACTCCCCTTGACACAGTCACCTTAGCCAAACTGATTATTATGAGATGAGACCTAAGGTCACCTGCCACCAGCTGCAATGCAAGGAAGTGGTACTGAAAATTTCACCTGCTTCATCTTTGGATTTGCATCATTATCAGACTAACAGAAAGGCCTGGGGTGAGCCTGCCCACCCACCCACCCAAAGCTCCAGGGTTCTGGTTCTCCCATTCAAATGCAACCCACTCCTGTCTAGTGGGAGCTGTCTCCTCGGAAACACCTGTCAACGGGAGCAATTCTGTGTCATATATCTGGCTACAACTTCCAGGTCAGAGGCTATAGTCTGAAGAGCCATCCCATTAAGGTACCACTCATCTGGGGACACTGCGCCAGGAAAACGCTAGACACTTGGGGCTTCCTGTCTCTCTCTCTCTCTCTCTGACCCCCAAAGGCTGAGCTGCTTGCCATTCTCTTGTCTCCACGCACTTCCCCACCCCCCCCAAAATGTTAAGAAATGTAGCCATTCCCTGTTCAGGGTAACGGATGGTCACCAAAAGCAACACCTTCTATCGGGGGCTCATTTTTTATAGGGTTTTACTATACTTTTCTGAACGACACTCTTGAGAAATTTGCAATGATCGAGTCCACTGGGTGGGCCAGTTGAAAATACTGCTTGGGAATGTTTTTCTCCAAAGGTACTGCTCTTTCTTTTCATGACTCAGGTCAGGTGTCAGAATAAATCAAAGGATTGAACAGAATGGAACAGAGAGGCTGGAACTGGATACAGCAGTTTCTCTCCTACATCAAGGAGAGTGCGATTGTTTAGCCAGGTTCTACGGAGCATCTGCTTCAGTTAAAATAAAGCGAATACCAAACTCACCATCAGTGACGAACTACTGGGCTTCTGGCTTGTTTCTCTTAGCCCACTCTTTCCATTCATATTAGTGCACCTCCGACTGATTTCAATCAAATGACAATTTCTAGACAACTAATTCTGGAAACAAGCAATGGCTGAAATTAGCCCTTCGTGATCATTATTTGTTTATCTATTTGGGATACTCTCCCTTATCCACACGTTCGCTAACTGTAACCTCTAATATCTGCTTAAGGACAGTGGACTTTATACAGCCCAGGAAACGATTTCAAAGTTTTTTCTAATGAAAGCTCACACTTATATTTGAAACACTGTCCGATTTTAGAAAACGCACGTGTACTCACTTGTTTAGCCTTGGTCTTTGTGATGGTGTCAGAAATAGGTTTCTTCCTTTCCTTCACAGCAGTTTTAGAAAATAATTCCTCAAATTCATGACAATCTATGGATGGCTCTTCAATTTTTTCCCAAATAAGCGAAGGACTGGAGTCTCTAAAGTTAAGCAAAACACCAATTGAAAAAGCCATCAAACTGGACTATGGGGTAGCATGGCTAAGCAAACACAAAGGAAGAAGGGACGAGAAGAAGAACAGAGGAGAAAAAAAGGATGAGAAGAGGCCAGGAAGGAAGGAAGCACTAGAGGAAAGAACAGCATTGGAGGAAGGAACAGAGAGGCAAGCAGGGAAGAAAGGAAAAAAGGGAAAGAGTACTCTTTTTCTTAAAGACCACCATTTCTTTAACCAACTTGATAAGAAAATTAAAACATCATCAATATGGAATGAAACCTTTGCCTAGAAATAATGATTTCCAGGAACTCTCAGTTATCAAGTCAATGTATCAAAGCATAAAAAGAAAACCCGCTCAGTGTGGGCGATAAAGGCAGGAAATGTTTGCTATCTCACAACCCCAACTGGACTCATCAGCGTTGCATATTATTTATGGGATAATAAGAAATCGTTTTATGATCAAAGGAGCTTCCATCTCCTTATGCTTCCCATTGCACCATTGATCTTTGACTTCACAGTAACTGCAGATCTGGGTAATACCACCTAAAAAGGGTAGGTCCATTTAGAAACAACAACAACAAAATAACTTCATATAATACCAGTATATCTGGAAAAACTTGGTTTGGGGCATGGTCTAAAATGATGCATCAATATACTTAGGTTAACTGTAACTACACAGACAATGAGCAACCAAGTTAGAAGCAAATATGTAGGTTCTTCCCCTCAGCATGATTCAATAAAGAGAAAAAATATTAATATATGAGAATGAGCTCGAGGAATATCCTGCTTTTAAATCCATGCCACATCACCCAAACAAAAGTCAAAAAATCATGAACAGGGCATGTTTTTTGTCCCATCAGCACAACCCCCAGCCACGTATCACAGCACCGTTTTACGGATCAGGGGACGCAACGCATAGAAAATGCATGGATAAGTAATATGCCACCAGGGGCCTTGGTGAGGGGGGCTATTCTGTCATAAATGTCATTTGCAACTATGGCTTTCAGAGTTCACACTGTGCCGCCAATCTTCTGTAAAAGTGGCATAAAATTCTCAAAGCGAAATCATTCCACACCTAGGGTGTGGATATGTGCGTGTCTGTGCAGCGCATCTGTGTAGAGAAAGACACCTGCAAACAAAATGCAATGGTAACACAAGACTGTGCCTTCAAAGAGATGCAAACAGCAACCTCAAGACTCAGTGTGTCCAAGGATTTGATTTACACTTATATGCTACTGTCAGAGTGAGGTTCTGCAGGTAGGCAGTAAGGCATGCACGCTAAGAAAAATACGGGGTCCGGCACAAATAACACCCCTTTCTTATTACAAAATCTTTTATTACAAAATCATAAGCATCTGATTCTGTAACATAACAATATCACACTCAAGCACACCATATGACATTTTAGGCAAAATGTTCACATTAAAACTATAAATTATTACACCCACATTATTACTCTACCAACCACACTCAAACAGGCATTACTTCTGCCAGACCCTGTATATCTCTCTGTCTTTAAAAGATCAATCAGTCCTGGCTGGTGTGGCTCAGTGGACCGAGTGCTGGTCTGTGAACCAAAGGGTGGCAGGTTCGATTCCTAGGCAGGGCTCATGCCTGGATTGCAGGCCAGGTCCCCAGTAGGGGATGCGTGAGAGGCAACCACACATGGATGTTTTCCTCCCTCTTTCTCCCCCCCCTTCCCTTCCCTTCCCTCCCTTCTAAAAATAAATAATAAATAAAATCTTTAAAATAAATAAAAGATCAATCAATAACTACTTAGATTTCTGTACATCTTATACCCTGAGACACGTATGTAATTTCTTTTATCCTTTTGATACTTTCAGAGAAAAGTAAAATTTTAATAACAGCTTGTTTCACTAAATATTTTAGAGTGATACTTAAAAATACATTAAATTGTAATTCTCCCAAATTATAAAGGGAAATGTTTCCCTTGTACTGAGAAACTGCAAAGATGAGCTCCCGTTCAGGTTACCTTTTACTGTGTAGTTGAATTCTCGTCCAGTACAGAGGCTTCATTGGCCGACAAGGCTCTATTGGCTGCTTCCTACTCCCTTTGTCCTGGTTCATCCCTAATCCAAACCAGCCAGTTGGCATCGGAGGGGGAAGGAATCCACACACTTGTGGCGTTAGTAAAGTGCTACTCCCAGCTTGTGGGGGGAGTGGAGGGCCAGATCCAGGAAGCAGAGCGGGTGGGGGTGGGGGTGAGGGGACGCCTGTTCCAGGACCGGGAGGAGCTGGAGCGGGTGGAATACCCACACCTGGCAGGGGAGGAGGTGGGGGGATCCCCGTTCCGGGAAGAGGAGGGGGAGGGGGTATCCCCGCTCCGGGAAGGGGTGGGGGAGGAGGTATTCCCGCTCCGGGAAGAGGAGGGGGAGGGGGTATCCCCGCTCCGGGAAGAGGAGGGGGAGGGGGTACACCAACTCCAGGAAGGGGTGGGGGAGGAGGTACCCCCGTTCCGGGAAGGGGTGGGGGAGGGGGTATTCCCACTCCGGGAAGAGGAGGGGGAGGGGGTATCCCTGTTCCGGGAAGAGGAGGGGGAGGGGGTATCCCCGCTCCGGGAAGAGGTGGGGGAGGGGGTATCCCCGCTCCGGGAAGAGGTGGGGGAGGGGGTACACCCACTCCGGGAAGAGGTGGGGGAGGGGGTACACCAACTCCAGGAAGAGGTGGGGGAGGGGGTACCCCCATTCCGGGAAGGGGTGGGGGAGGGGGTATTCCCACTCCGGGAAGAGGAGGGGGAGGGGGTATCCCTGCTCCGGGAAGAGGAGGGGGAGGGGGTATCCCAGCTCCGGGAAGAGGTGGGGAAGGAGGTATTCCCGCTCCGGGAAGAGGAGGGGGAGGGGGTACCCCAACTCCAGGAAGAGGTCGGGGAGGAGGTATTCCTGCTCCGGGAAGGGGTGGGGGAGGGGGTATCCCCGCTCCGGGAAGAGGAGGCGGAGGAGGTATTCCCACTGCGGGAAGTGGAGGGGGTGGAGGTATTCCCTCACCTGGCAAAGGTGGGGGAGGAGGGGGCAGCGTCTGTGTACCAGGGATACAAGGGGGCGGAGGGGCTGTGGTACTGAGGGGCGGTGCGGGGGGAGCCACCATGCCCAGGCCGGACGTGGAGGTGGAAGGCCCCGTGCAAGGCAGGGGCGGCGGGGGCGGGACGTTCGGGCCGTTTGCAAAGGACGGTAAAACAGACTGTTCGTGGCTGGTTTCAAACTCAGTCTGAAGAGAAGGCTGGGCAGGCAGGGAGCCGACCTGTGCTTGCCCGGCCGGCCCCGGCAGGGGTGGAGGTGGCGGCGGCTGCTGATGTGCATTGAGTTGTACGGATATTTGCCTTGGAGACACAATCAAAGAAATCTCTGAACAGAATTTCGTCTGAGGTCCGGAAGGTGAGGACGGCACGGCCGCGACTCCACTTTCAGCCCCTGGTGGCCAAGAGGGACACTCTGGCAGTGTATTAACAGAAGGCAGCGTCGGTAGCCCCCCCTCCTCTGTCGGGGACGTCTGGATCGACCTGGCCTGTAAAATCCTTTGCTGCTGCACATCCTGTCCTCCTAACCTGAGAGCTTCCAGGCCGACCCCCACTGCGGGCGCCACTCCGATCCGAGCCCCGGGCCGGCCGCCGGCCACGTCCGCGTCCACCGCAGGGCACTGCTTCTCTAGCTCAGCGATTTTGGTTCTTAGATCCTCAATGGTCTGTTCCAGCTGCTGGATGACAGTTGCCTGTCCCTCGGACTTCATGTCTACGACTTCCTGGGGGGCAAGAAAGGCATAGTTAAATACAAAATAAGGACTCCTCCAAATAGTGGAAAAAAAAAAAAGTTACAGAATTACACAAAATAGATTTGTGTTGTTTCCAGAACGATCTTTCCACCTTCGGACTTCAAAGGGGTTTACACACATCACACCGTGAAGTCCTGAAGTCCTGTGGTCCGCGCTGGCCGTCTTTAAGTGATGTCACTGAAGACCAGCAGACCACTGAGAACAGGGAGGGAAATCCTGAGGGAGGCTTCTCTCACTCAGGATAACCTCTCTCCCTCCTGCCTGGTACCATTTGCTGTTAGGACGTCCCCACAGGCACCGCAACAGGGGATCAAACCCGCAACCTTCTGGTGTACGGATGACACTCCAACAGAGCCACCCAGCCAGGGCAGAAAAAGACTTCTTAAGTGGAATCCACTTAAGACAATATGGCAGTTACTGTGGACCGGCTGTCCCAACCTCCGGCTCCCTCTCCTTCTGTGTATGGAAGTGGGAAGAAAAACTACATTTACAGACTCCCTTGTAGCGAGGTTCTTCCAATTAGACGCAGTCATACAGAGATTTTAAAAGTGGAAAGTCAGGAGATCCTCTCGCGCGCTCTCACTGTGTGTTCTGAGAGCGACCAGCATGTGCTGACGTGACGCTGCCCTAACACAACATTCCAGCATCCACGCTCCAATGTCAAGCGGTGGCCTCACAGTTTTAGCTTCCCTGGTAGATTAGTGTGAATATCATTCTTTTGAAAGACTTCAGCCTAGAAGTGGATCGTTCCAATGTTTTAAACTTTCCGTGAAAAAAAATTTTTTTTTATACAGTAAACCCTTCTGTTGATTATATCTAGCATGGTTTCTGGTTCCTTCAACAAAGGTTAACTGATACAACCATGTGCTGATGCTTCAGAATAAATTATAGAGAAAAAAAGGGTCTTTTTGCAAGCAACCTGTGGAGAGCTCTAAAAATGATTTGCAATGCACTTGACCCAGAAAACCCACCAACATCATGCAAATCAGGAGGTTCAAATATTCACGTTCACTTTAAGAACATTCATGAAACTGCCATCAATGGTATGTATATGGGAAAAACCACCGAGTATCTGAGAGATGTCACTTTATAGAAGCGAAGTATGCCATTCCATTTTTGCAACGGTGGAACTGATAGGGGTGCGCAAGCTGCACACAGGATCAATTGCCCAAAAAGAGTGCTAAGTTTTTGCTGCATGTGTTTAAAACTGCAGAGGGTAATGCTGAACCTAAGGAGTAAAACGTAGATTCTCTGGTCACTGAGCACATCCAAGGAAACAAAAGCCCCAACATGCACTGCCAGACTTACAGCACTTAAGGTCAGCTAAGCCCACACAAAAGCTGCCCTTGCAACATTGAGATGATCCTTACCGCAAAAAAAACAGACTGTTTCTAAACCAGAAGAGGAGACTGGACAGAAGAAAAATCCATCCCAATAAAAATAAGAAACAGCCTTGACCACTCTGGCTCAGTTGGTTGGGCATGATCCTGCAAAGTGAAAGGGCTCCAGTTCAATTCCCAGTTAGGCACATGCCTGGGTTGTGGGTTTGGTACCAGCTGGGGCAGATGAGAGGCAACCCATCAATGCTTCTCTCCCTCTCTTTCTCCCTCCCTCCCTTCCCCTCGCTCTAAAAAAAATTTTTTTTAATCTTTTTTTTAAATGAGGAAACAAAAAACAGCCTAGTAATAAATGCAGCATAAAATAAATGCAAATAGAAGTTCTTAAAAATCGTGGGAAATTCTTTTTCCCTAAAATAAAATTAAAAAGCAACTACAACACTTTATTCTGAAAAGTTTATTATAATGGTAAGCCAGAACAAATTGTTAGGGTTAAAGTGACTCATGTTAACTTTCATTGGTGCAGGTTTTCTGACAAAAGTATATAATGCCATGATATATGACATCTTTTATGACAAAATGGTCAATTTGTGTAGCATTTGAGAACTTCATCAATTTCCCCAGGGACCTCTGATAATTCTTTAATATGCAAGTTAATTTTTAATATAGCTGCCATATCATAGTCCTTACCAAATTAACTCTGTCAGGTGCTCATTCATCAGTTTTCATGGGATGGAGGTGCTCTAGCAACAGCTCCCCTGACTTCAGGTAATTCTACAACTTCTGCAAGATTAACAATTTCACCTTTCATTGAATTTGTATCATGTAATTCAAAACATCCACAAATCGATAAACTGACGCTGCCCCAAGGTAAACCATAGGAGAAAATAACAGACCGTGTTAAATGGAGAGGAATTTGGAGTTGCACCTAATTTTATAAGTGGTCAATTTATTAGAGTATATTGTTGTGTATTTCACTTAATTTTTTGAACAAAGTGATAACTGGGGGCACTTAGATAATAAAAAGCTGAGAACATAAAGAACTGACATATTCCATAAGCTTCGTTGGTTTTCAAATGCAAGATACAGTAAGAACTAGAACTAAGAAATGGCAGAGGACACAGATAAGAAAATGAAATTCCAAAGCTGAATGTATAATAAGGATGGCAATACTAGCCTTGTGATACCAAGAAGGTGGTAAAGTCAAAGAATTCATGAAGATGATAATAAACAGACTGCAAAGGCAAAAGGCTGGAGCTTTTATAGAGAGAATTGTTTTTATAGAGACAATTATTCTTTATCAAAAACAGGAAAAAAGTTGAGGTAAGACTATTTGCTTCTTGCATTATTCTGACTAGAGAGAGAACAAAAATTCAATTTGCTAAAATCTTTATTCCTATCTAAGACTATCTTTACCTGCAAAATTGCAGCCCTAAATCAATGTTAAAATCTGCCTTTTCCATTCCAGGGAAAAACAGCATTTAAGTTCATCTCAAATCTTAACTGACTAGCCTGTGAAGTAAGGCTGGCCATCAAGTTTTACAGGACAGCCAAATGTATGTAGGATTTTGGGTTCTGAATGCAGCTAAGAGCCTTTAAGGAATCTTATCTGGCCTTCCTTATCCAGGGCCATCCCACAAAGGGCTGGCTGGCTCTCAGAGAGCACCAATTTACAGTCCCAGGGACCTTATCTGTAGAGCTCTCTAGAGGACGCTGCCTCTCTTGTCAACAGCAAGAGCTGATTTCTACACAGGTTATATGTAATTGTTTTCAGAGGTTTATAAAAACTTGACATGGTAAATACCAAGAAAAAAATGCTGTTCTCTGGCCATTTAAGCAAACATCTTCCCCGAGGGCCCACCCACAGACAGAGCCCAGATTTAATCTTGAAGAGCCTGCCAGGCACTCTGTCGTCCACGGAAAGACCTCAGGTTGGGAGCCTGGTTCCCTGTGGCCTGTGCCTGGTATTTAATCTTCCATCCCTTCAGGGTACAACCGGACAGATGCCTATCAGATTCTCAAAGGACTTAACATTAGAGAAATGTAGTTTTGTTTTCTTCTATACTGTTCAAAAAGACTCAGAATTTCCAGTAATTGTGTGAGTTTACCCCATGCTAGTGATTTGCACTATTAAAAATTAAATGAATTTTTGAAAGGAGAAAAGGAAAAATGTGATCTTTGTGATTTTGTACAGAATTTATATAATGGGCACATCCTTATAAATGGAGGAGACATAAATCTATTATAGTTAGTCAACACAGAATATAATATACTTTATATATTGCCAATTTTAATATTATTTGTATTTAAAAGTATTACTTCAAACCTCTAAATCATTATAAGTGGTAGAGGCTGCCATCCACTTTGGCTGAACAATATATACAATAAGTCAGCCAAAATTCCTCCATTCCTGGATAATCTTATATGTGGGTGGTGACGGTTAGTTCTCATAAATTGTTTGAACATTTGCATTTCACAAAATACAAGTTGCCATTAAAAAATAAAATGTTCACCAAAAATATTTTTCTAAATACAAGATTATCTGACTCCTAGGAAAAGAAAACATTGCCATAACATTAAGGCGAAAATTCAGAAAAGGAGCCAAGATACACTCAAGGAAAGCTTTTGCTGAAAAGTTAATTTGTTCATCTTTGAAACTTTTATATTATGTAAGCAAGATACTTTCAGAGCCTAGAATATAAAAACCACTTATTGGTAAGTTAACCCTGTGAGGATTTATTTTGTAAATGCTAATGAGAGATGTAATTAATTTTCTACCCTATACAAATTTTCAAGTTCTGCTAAATTCTAAGGCTACATTACTGGCAAGTTAGGATACCTCTAGATGTTTGTAAAATATGAATCCTATTCTTCACAGAAACATATAAATTCTCTATTTGCCATATTTTGAATTCTAAAACGTTCTGGCGTTTTAGGACCAATGGCATTCCAGATTTTTTGTTAATCCAACACGTTCTATATATGATCCTAAAGGAAAAGAAATCCAGATTTTAAATAAGATTATGCACAAATATAAAGATAATCAATTTCAAGTTGGAAAGGGAATTTCAAGAAAGAAGGGACTATCAGAAAATATGGTAAGTGTTAAGTAACTTACCTAGGGTTCTTTAAAGTAGAACATATTGTGGGGGAAAGAAAGTGTCTCACACAAAGAGACTTAAAATAGCATCTCTAGAATCCTTACAAGAAACAGATGAGAATGATTGAAATTGTAGTAATTTTGAACTGGAAGGAATATGACAAATCTCTTCTGGTCCCTTCATGGCATAGACCAGAAATAGGAGGTGAAGGTGGGCAGGATAAGTTAGAAATCAGCATTGCCTGTATTATTTTCAACACCTCTTTTCCAACATCATAGTAATTGATCATTTGACTGATGGTTCGAGTCAGCTTTCATTAGCAAATAACCACAATGGAAGTAATAAACAATGTGTCTGGGGGCAAAGAGTCCTCCCAAAATGGAAACGAGCAGCCTTTTTGGTTCCCTCATATCTTCTCAATTTTCTCCTTAGTTATTTGAACTAAAGTGTGGCAAGATTCTGTACTGTACTTTAAAGCAATATATTCCTTAATTGTCCCAATCCGTGCAAGGGGAACACTATTTTATTACAC